ACTCCAGGGCTGGGTTGGGGGAGTCAGGACGGCTCCCCGGGCAGGTACCTCTGAGCAGAGAGCAGAGGAAGCACTCTCTGAGCTGTCAGAGTGGCCATGAGCTCCAAGATGCACCTGGGTTTTATGTATTTGTTACCTGGCTGCTGCCCTGAAAGAATTAGCTGGAAAAATACCTAAAAACAAAGAGTGTCCAGGCGCATCAGGCCCTGGAGGACGAGGGTCTTCAGGCTCTGAGTCTAGGTGGGTGGCAGCTGCACTGGGGTGGTGGTGGTGGGTGGATGGGGGGGAACAGGAGTGCCTGGGGCCTGGGCCTAGTAGGATAGCCCTGTGCTGTCATGCACCCCGAGAAGCGGAGACACAAACGCTGCGTGTGCATCTGAATCTGAGCAGGGCCTGTTAAAGACCTCGTCTCAAACATTACAGTTCCAAGGGTAGGACCCTGAATAAGAATTTTTAACAAGCTCCTCAAGTTACGTTTGAGTAAACCCTGCTGTAGGGTCAAAGCTTCTTCCCTTTGCCCGATTTGCTCCCAGCCTGGTGAAAGGGCATCGTCACGATCATTCCCACCGCACAAGGGATGAAGGGACACGTGTGTTGGCTCGCAAGCACCTCGCTCAGCGCATCCAGGAGCATCCAGGAGCAGAAGCTCAGGTCCCACATCTCAGCCCACCTCTGATATTCTTTCACCCCATCCCACCCCCACCCACCAGACTCACTTTCCTGCTCCTGCCCCCACCCAGGCCAAGGACCTTGATATTTGTGAAAGAACAGAGACTTGATCAAATCCACGGGGGGCTCATGGCTGCCTCTTTGGGATGCTGAGGGAGAAGGAGGGGCTCAGAGGGAAGATTCTGGGGGACCCCTCGTTCCCAGGCATGTGCAGCAAATGCTCAGATCTTAGTACAATGGAAGCTGTAGTTGGCTTAGCTGCCGGGCAGCCACTGCTCTCCAGCAGGCTGGGTGTGTGTGCACATACGTGTGAGCAGCAGCGTGCACCTATGTAGGAAATGTTTCGTTATCTGTGCTCTGTATGTCTTCATGGAAAACTACCATCAGGAGTGGCGTATGGACTCACGCTGGATCTCCCAGATGGTCAAAGGACACAGTTACCTTGGGGCCACCTTCCTCCCACCTCATTCCTTGTGGAAACGTGGCAGACGGTCCGTTCACGGGTGCGGCTGGAGAAGGGCACCGATAGAACTTGCTCACCAGCCCCAGTACCTTGCAGGAGGGGCCTCTCTGACGCTTTGTGAATTGAGATATACATGCAGGGGATGCAGGGCAGTGCCACGCATGCAGCAGGTGGCATCCGAGTGCGACCTAGTATTACTGCTGTCACTCCCTGCGCCAGCACCTGCACAGGGACACCGTGATGAGCAGGACTCCGGGCTCCAGCCACGTATGTCCTCTTTCAAGTCCTCGAGCAAGACAGTCTCCCCTGTCTGGGTCTTTGCTCATAATCTTTGCCCGGTTCAGTCCAGCTTGTCCTTCAGATCTCAGCTTCAATGCCACCACCTCAGAGCCCCCACTGGACCCCCGGCTCCCGAGGTAGAGGGTCTCCCCAGCTGTCGCTCTGGGCACCCCACTTTCTCCCTTCAGTGGCCTCTAGCTTCTGCCTTTACAAACCAATCCCATTCCTATCCTCTCCTCTGCTTTTTCTCTTCTCTTTCCTTAATATTTTTTTTTAAAGAAAACAACTTTTTGTTTTGAAATAACTCAAGATACTCGGAAAAGTAGTAAAAACAGTGCAGAGTTCCTGTGACGCAAACATCTTTTGTCACCACAGTGTATTTGTCAAAAACCAAGACGTGAACGTTAGTATGGTGCAGACTCATTTGTATTTTAACAGTTTTTCCCCTACTGTCCTTCTTCGCTTCCCGGATCCCAATCAGGAAACCACATTACACTTAATTCCCACGTCTCCTCTGTTTCACCCGGGCCGTGACAGCTCCCCAGGTGTCTGGGGACACCGCAGACGGGCACCTCCTGGACAGCAGAAATGTATTTCTCACCGTTCCGGAGGCTGGAAGTTCGAGATCAGAGCCAGCATGGTGGGATGAGAGCCCTTTCTGGTCATGGACTTCTGGTTGTGCCCTGCCATGGGAAGGAGCCAGGGAGCTGTCTGCAGTGTCTTTTATATGGGCACGAATCCCATTGATGGAGTCTCCACCCTCATGACCTAATCACCTCCCAAGGGCCCCATCTCCTACACCATCACCCCGGGGGGTTAGGGTTTGGACCACTTAGTCAAGGCAGTGGGCGCCACTTAGCATCCTTCTCTCCTTGGGCTCTGTTTGCAGAAACAAGGTGCCAAGTCAAGCTCACGTGCCATAGCACTTGTCACCAATGGGCATATGTCATACTCTCTACTTTTCCATTTTATTCCTTGTTATTTTTTAAAATTTTATTGTCTCTCCATGCAAGAATGTTGCTCCACCGGGGCAGGGATTTTTGTGGTTTTCTTCATTTATTTCCAATACCCAGGACGGTTCCAGATAAGCAGTGGGCATTCAATAAATATCTGCAGATGAACGAATTACCCTCACCACAGTTTGTACCCTCATGTTTATCTGTTTAATTAGCTAGTTGTGGCCAGAGTCCATGTCTGCTGGGCTTGCACTTGTACCTTGTATGACTTCCATGTCTGAGGCTCTGTAGGTGCCCCCAAACAATGGCCTTATATATAGGCAAGAGTGGGCTGGGAATGGCTGCTCATTGGGGTGTGAAGTGTTTCCTCTTGGAGTCCAAGGTCATTTTTCTGGCCTGGGTCTCTGCAGAAGAGATGGGGACAGGATTTCTCAGCCCTAGCATTGTCCTCTGCCATTCTGGTGGCAGTGGGTTCACAAGGGGAGGTCCTGAGTATCCATATGATCAGAGAGAGAAATGAAAGTGGGTTCCCAAGAACAAGACAAGGCTTGACAATAGCAGCAGAAATTCAAATGAAGGTGACTCTGTTGAACTAAATTGTGTCCCCTGCCCCCAAATTCATCTGTTGAAGCCCTAACCCCCAGCACCTCAGGATGAGGCTGTATTAGAAGACATGGACTTTAAAGAGGTGATTAAGTTAAAATGAGGCCCGTAGGGTGGGCTCTGGTCCAATCAGACCTGGGGAGGCTGGGAGACAGAAGAGGAGGTTAGAATGCCAGGAGATGACCATGTGAGGGCACAAAGAGAGGAGGCCACCTGTGAGCCCAGCCACGGAGAAGGGCCTCAGGAGGAACCAGCCTAACACCTGGGTCTCAGACTCCAGCTTCCAGAACTGTGAGATAACACAGTTTCTGTTGTTAAGCTGCCCTTTTACTGGACAGGATGGACGAGGTCAATTGGAGAAAGGGCCACTGGAGGAGCAGGTACAGATGGGTGCAAGTGCCCCCTATAGGGCTGAGTGGAGGTGTCTGCTCATGTGCCCGTGTGAGAATGAGGGATGGGAGGGGTCCAGGGAGGGCTCAGGGTGTGATGTGGATGGCCAAGCCATTCTAAAATCAGGAAGAAATAGAACAGAGTAACACCAGCTTCTTGTTCAAGGTCCCCGTCCCAGATGGTTGTGCGGGCACCTCATCCTCACTACTCTCCTTCACACACCCTATCCTGGCCTGGAATGAAGTCTCCGTGGTTTCCACACACTGCAGCTTGCTCAACATCATCCTCTGGCCTTTCTCTCTGCTGGAGTCTCTCCCCTGTTCCCAAACCTGCTGTCTGGTGAAGGCTTATTTACTCAAGACCAGCTCAATATCACCTCTTCCAAGAAGGTTTTCCTGACCTCTTTCTCTCTCTCTCCACCTCCCCCTCAGCCCCCCATGCTATATCATTGCGTTCATCCCAGGATCACGTAACAGTTGAGTGATGAGGCCTGCAATGACACCCAGCCGGGAGCTTCAGTGTGTGACATGCAGCCACCCTGGAGCCCATCCCGACCTCATACATGGTAGCTCTTGTGTGACCATGTGCCCAGTGAACTTCAGACAACTCTGGACCTTGGTCTTACACACATCACACAGGCAGGGCCTCCCTCTGACCTTGGACTGGTTGGGCAAACAGTGAGAGAAATATCTGCCAAGGCAGGAGAGACATTTCGCAAGGGAAAGGCACACGGGAGTGGGTCTGAGCCCATGAGGAGGCCCAATCCTGAAATGCTGTCCCTGAGCTGGAAGCTCAGATGCAGACAAGCTGTTTGGGGTCCCATCTCAGCCATCTGCCCAACCATATGTCAACACAGGTGCCATCCGGGTCCCAGGACCTAAGCCTCTCACTGTCCTCAGCCTCTGCACACCCCCTCACGTCCCCTCTGTAAAATGGGTACACGGACATACTCTGCGGGGTTGTCGAGAGATTCAGGAGATGACAGGTGTAAGGTGTCCCCAAAGGCTGGCACAAAGTAGGTCCTCAGTACTTTGAAGTGTGCCCAAGGCTTGAGGTTCTGACCTTTTGCAATACAGTGCAGACTCTGGAATTAGGGCAGTAGGTACAGCCTCACTGGGAGCATACTAGGGCCATGCAGGGTGGGCTGGGCAAGCGCTCAGATTTAAAGGGGTGGCTAATTAGAGGACAATTCGAGTGAAGGACTCATTCATTCATTCATTGATTCTTTAAAGTGTCCGATCCCATTCATTTGCTAGACAGGAAGTGTCTGTAGGGGCTTTCATAAAAGAGGAGGGAGAGTAAGCTTGCCTGCATCCCAGGGGAGCGATGCATCTAGAACCAGGCTTCTGGTTCTCCATCATGTCTTCCCTGCAGCAGAGCACAAGACTGAAAATGTGGGTCTGGGGGCTGCACTCCCTGGGGCAATTCCTGCCTCCACCCTTGTGTGAGTGGAGAAGTAGCCTGCTCTCCCCAAGCCTTGCCTCCCCCATCTGTAAAATGGGGATAATAGCACTACCTGCCTCACAGCAGATAAAGGCAACCATCCAGGTGAAGCACGTGGCACCAGGCCTGGTACACGGTAAGCTATTAATGTGACCGTTCCCAGCATTACTTCTGTAAGGACAATGACACTCAGTGTTTGCAAAATGCTTTATTACTCTTGTTGATGCTAAAATTCGTGGTTAGTCATCAATGTCTTCAACTGATACTCTAGTGTTTGCAACAGGTCTCTATTCTCCTGCCCCCAGCCACGCCAGGAGGTCGTAATGAAGCCTCAGGTTAGTTCGATGCTGTGATGGGCCCTTTCCACCCTGGTGCCCACTTGCTTTTCTTCTAGGACAAGGAGCACTGGAATGTGTTAAAATCTACGGTGATGGGCAGGGAACACCCCAGCCTCTTTATATGATGTCAAGGAACCTTCAACCTTTCACCTGATCCTTCCTTGGATGCATGGGGGAAATTGAGGTCCAGAGAGGAATAGGATCACCCCAATGCCCCACAGCTGGTTAGCTGGGACAGAAGCCCCATTACTTGTTTTTTTTCCAAACCACGATGAATGGATGGCTGGTATTGCTGGCAAGAGAAGGCCTCAGCTTAGAACTACATTTTTTGGTAGAAATGCCTGCCAGAACAATCCTCCTACAGAGCTCGGTGGCACTGGGCTGGGCATCAGAGGCCTGGATTCTGGGCCTCTCTCTACTGTTAACATGCTGTGTGTCCTTGGGCAAGTCAACCAACCTCTCTGGGCCTCGGTGCTAGACTCCACTGATGAAGAGTGAGGGCCAGTCCAAATGCTCTCGAAGGTTCCTCAAGGTGGCCACGTCTTGCAGTTGTGTGAAAAGAAGCCATCGTTAATATATCAATACTATGATTATTATTACTTGTAAATGCTCCATTAGTCAACGAAACCTGTGTCAATCATCAGCTCCCAGTAGGGACTTCCACTATGGAGGCTTGTGACCTTTCAGGAGAAACACCCACCTCAGGGATGGGTCACTTTGCCAAGGAAGAGGATGTTCGTGGCATTCTCCACAATGAGCATCATAAAGGGCCTGTTGAACATGATCTTGTGAGGCCTCATTGGGGCCGACTTGAACATGAAGATTGCTTCTGTGGCTGCAGCCGCTTGAGTCCCCGACTCGTCCACCTCCACCATAGCCTTGTGCACCATCTGCAGAAGAAAGATCAGATGTCACCAAACCATCAGGGGCTGGGAGATGCCATCACTGGAGACGGTGAAGCTTCTGCCATCACTGTCCAACTCTCTGTGCAACCATGCCACCAAGCAGGTAGCAAATGACAGGTAGTCGTGCCACTACTGTGCACTGGGATCTGTGCCTTCCCTTGAATTTTCATGGAATCTTGAAGCAAGGATGTGACCCTCCAATTTTATAGCGAGAAAGGAGGCTCAGAGAGGTCAAGTAAGTGTCACACAGCTAGTGAGTGAAGGAGCTAGCACCTAAGTCTTAGTTTTGATTGCTTCTTGAGAGCTCCTCCTAAGACGCGGTGCTGGATATGGCTTCCCATTGCACATAGGATGAGGTGCAAAGTGATATCTTTGTTTCTTGAAGGAAAAGAGGAGAGTGAGAGAGAAAGAGGGAGAGAGAATCTGGAAGGTGGAATGGAAAGAAAGGAGTGGAGCAGAATAAATTAGAATAGAATAGAATAGAATAGAATAGAGCAAAATAGAAATCACAGAAAGCTTCTTCTGAGCTCACCTCAGACACCTGGATATTAGTGTCGTTGGTCATGCCAGTCAGGTCAGCGTGGGAGGTAAAGACGTCATTGATGCCCAGCGTAGGGAGAACTTTGTCCAGCTGGTAGGAGCCCTCAATGGAGAACTTGGGAAGATAGAGCTCAAGCTGCCTGGAAAGAGAATAGGAACTTTCATCGGCTGGCTGAACTCAGATCCCAGCTACCTGCCCTCAGTTTCATAATGGTCCTCCAGCCCCTTGCCTAGAGCCCACCTGACTCTGGACTTGGACCATAGGGTCTGTCCCCATGGGTCCCCACACACTCTGACGTCCCCATTAGGAAAGTGGGCGCTCAGGCCTGCTCCCCCCAGCTGGGCCAGGCCCTGGGGGCTGGGCCCTCACTCGATGCCTCCAGGTTGGGAGGCAGCTCCTGGGTTGGGTGAGACCTTCCCACCACTGCTGTGTCTCCCTGGCAGTGTGCAGGGCCAGCCTGGCCTCACGTCGCCTGTGGAATACCTCTTTGTGAACATCTTGAGCCACTTCTTCAGTGTTTTCTCACTCATTCCATTCTCCAGCTGTCCCATCTGACCCTCACTGGGGAGAACGAACAGAGCGGTGGCGTTCCCTTGGTAGGGGACACCCACCACCCTGCAGGAGAGGTTCCGGTCCACGTAGTAGTAATAATGGTCTTCCTGTTTCATCATGGGCACCTGAACCACCGTCTCCGAGGTCACATGGAAGTCCTGCTTGCGGGTGCTTTTGTGGTTAAAGCCTGTCTCCCACTTAGCTAAATATCAAAATGGAAAAGGTGTTAGAAAGTCCGAGCTGCAGATGAACGGTGTCGAGACAGTAAACCCACCAAACAGAGCTCATCCCCCCTTGCGCAGTCTCCTCCTCAGTGGCAGGGATCCCGCAACCCTTGGACTAGAAAGGCAAGCCTTTTTATAACTTCAGGGATGTGCCTGAACTTTCTATGGGGTTTTTCTTCCATGTGTGCAAAGAAAAGGGGATGGTTTTCATGTCCTTGGAGGCCCTTGGCTGCCAAAGTTGTTTGTTTGATCTCTGGTGTTACTCAAGGTCAAATATCTTCTAGAAGAAGGTCCGCTGTAATGACGGCTGACAAAGCCACACTACACCTTGGGGAGTTATTCTGTTTTTCACTCTTTTCCCATTTTTGGATTTTGATCTCAGTTTGGGGGAGAGAGTTTGTAAGGTTCCTGGACATACAGGACTTTTCCTACTGAGAAGCCCTCACTTATGCTTCCTGCTGTGTCTGATCCCTCCAGCTCTTCTGCATCAACGAGATACAGATAGTTCTCTGCATCTTCTTAGTAGACGTAAGATACGGAGGACCCCACCTAGCTTCTGTCACAGTTGTCCCCTGCAGCCTGGTGTCAGAGAGAGAGTCCTGCATGGGGGGGGGGGGGAGACATGAAAACTGGGACTCCAAGCTGGATGCTCGCTATCTGTGCTCCTAGGAAGGGGGAGGCAGTTAACAAGCTGTTTCCCTCTTTCCTCTCTCCCTCCCCTCCTCTTTATCTACTCCTGCCTCCACATCCTCAGCCAGGCCCCATATGGGGGCAACAAAGGGGCTCTGCATCTAGAAGGAGAAGCAGACATGAGAGCGGAGATGAGTAGGGGTATCCACCAGAAACGTCAGGGAGATGGAGGTGGGGGGATCAGCTGTTGTGGGAGGTGGGGAGAAGACTCTCCAGAGGCCAGGTGCTTGCCGAGGGATTTCTCTGCTGAAAGAAGAGCCTAGCCCCTAGGAGGACATGGGGCCAAGGGTGTAGGGGAAGGGGGAGGCCCTCCAAGGCCCTTCTAAGACCTACAATCCTTCCCTGAGTGGCAGTACAGTGGCCATGGCAATCTCGTGGTGGAAGCTGGGGCCCAAGGCCCATGAACAAGAGCCAACTCTTCCCCAGGGTGGCAGGTGAAGGGGGGACAGCAGCCGGGGTCACAGACATCCCCTTACACCATAGGAAGATGCCTGACCTACCCTCTGCTGATTGTTGGCCTCACTCTGTCAACAAGGCACCAGAAGGGACTAACTCTACTCTTACTCCTTTAAGGGTGTGGGACTTGGGGGACCCTTTGGACAAAAGCAGAGGAAAGGAGAGCGTTCAGCCCAGAGCACCTGGGTCTTACCTTTAAAGAAAATGTAATTCACCATCACCATGGCCTCAGTGCTATCCAGGTCCTTAGCCAAGTCCATGATCTTGCCTTTGGTTTGCTTTGCCACGTAATCGTTGATCTGCTTCTGGGCCCCCGCAGGGTCCCCAAAGTTGGTGGGGAAAGTGTCTGCCAGGTATAGCGTCTTCACGGCCCGGAGGAAGGTGTCCTGGAGGCGCACGGTGGGGCTGATGAACAGGGCATTGCCGAGGCTCAGCTGGATGTCCTCCCTGGGCTGGGCGAAGTCCCGCAGCAACTGGTGGATCCTGCGGTGCAGCGCCTCCTCCAAGACCTCCTGGGGACGGAGGCCCAGGCCTTCTAGGATCTGCACCTTTGTGGATGATCCAGCCCCCAGGGACAGCATGGCCAGGGTCGTGGAGATGCTCAGAGGGGAGAAGAAGATATTCTGATCGGGGGCAGCCGTAGCCAAGGCCCTGTAGAGGTCGAAGGCGAAGTCCCTGCTGGCGGGGGCCACTGTGCTGGCCACAGGCGGCTCCTTGACTCTCTTCTTCATCTCCCGGGGGCGGTGGCGGTGCAGGCTGGCACCCGGCGAGCTGAAGAGCATCAGGCACAGAAGGAGGCAGAGCTGCATGGTGGCTGCTCCTCACTCTGAAAGGACAGTGGGGAGGTGTCCTCAGGGAGGGTGCACAGTGGGGGCACCTCCTCAGAGAGGGGACTGGGTGTGTAGGGCCGGTGTCCCAGGCTTGTGACCACCCAGCATGCAGCATCTAAGGGAGATGATGAGCCTGTGCAGTTGGGAGAGGGGGCTAAGGAGAGCCGTGGAGGCTCGAGGACAGAGACTCTGGGGACGTGAGCACCTAAAGGTCGGGAGAGGAAGGAGAAAGCAGAGTTCGCAGAGCAGAAGTGGGGGCTGGCCACCAGAGCAAGAATCCTCTCGTCCATATCAGGGTTCGTGCTACAGGAGGTGGGACGTGGGAGTGCATGGCTCTCTTCTCTCCGCCTCATCAGCATCTCTGAGGTTCCCAGGCAATGAGAAGCCTGCTTCCAAGGTGGCCTGTGACTGTCACTTCAATCCCTGGAGGCAGCGTTTGCAAGGCCCGGTGGTCCTTCTGTGAACTCAGACCAATTACCACTCCCCCACCACGGGCCCCTTGGAACTGCTGGATTTATCCTCGTTCACTCAGCAAATACATATTGAGCATCTCCCCCATGGCCGGCAGGGTGCCAGGCTCCAGAGATGTGCTGCGGAACACGCAGATGCCAATTGGTTCTTTTCCCCTGGGGCAGGGAGCGGAGCTGTGCAAGGACCCGGGGGCCATCCTTGCTCCTCATCAGAGGCACCTCCCCACTCCCAACCCCGTGAGAAAATTCTATGCTCTGAATGTGAGCATCTCGACTTCCCTCCTACTCTGTAGTGGCTGAACTGTGTCCCCCACATTCCTACAATGAAGTCCTAACACCTAGCACCTCAGAATGTGACCGTATTGAGAGGAAGGGTCTTTAAAGAAGTGATGAAGTCAAAACAAGGTTGTATGGGCAGGCCTTGTGAGAAGAGGTGAGGACCCAGACACACACAGAGGGGCGTCCACATGAGGACACAGGGACAGGGCCAGCATCTGCGGGTCCAGGGGACAGGCCTCAGGAGGAATCAGCCCTTCCAGACCCATTTCCTCTTGTGTGCTGCTTTGTTACTGCAACCCTGAGCCAAGACATGTCTTCTTCCTTCCGTCCCCCAGAGAAGGAGGCCTCCCAGGTGGGCCCTGGGAGGTCCTCAGCCCCTGCCTCCTCCCTCCTCTCCTGGTCCATCTGCCTAGACCCTTCCTCTCTAACCAGAAAACCTTCCTGGGCCCAGGCCTTCCAAAGTCCCCCATGTCCACGGTCCCCCGTGACCAGTCCAGACTCGGCAGCCCAGCCTCCTGAGTTCAAAGGTCAGCCCCAGTACTTCCCATGAGTGTGGTTTGGGGAAAGTCGGTCATGCCCGGAGCCACTGAACACACCTACCCCCCCCCCCAAATCTGTGCAGCGGAGGTGACTCCAGTACCTGCCCCAGGTGCTGACTGGGGGCTTTAAGGAGTCAACACAGGTCAAGGCGCACACCTGTTGCAGTGGAAGTGTCAGCCGTGGCTGTGGCAGCTTCCAGTCAAAGCCCCACCGAGGTTGCCGGTTCCTCAGCTGTGCTGTGGGGTACACACTCTCACTGCACACTTGCTCTCGTGTGTACCTAGTGGCCTGTGTGCTGAGAAAAGCCCTAGAAGGTGAGATCTCCCTCCAGCTGGGTCTTCTTCCTCCAAGGACACAGTGTCATCAAGTCCCCAGCCTCAGGGTCCTGCCAGAGTCACATGACCCACACAAACCCCAAACCCAAAGGCCCCAAACAGCTGCAGTGGGCATTACATACAAAGTGGCCCACTTGGGAGGGAGGGCAGGGGGAGAGAGGGCCAGTGACCTTGGGGGTCAGGCTGACCCAGCTGCAGTCCTGAGTTTGAGCAAAATCAAGTGACCTGAGCAGGGCACGCTCACCAACCCTGGCGTTTAGATTGCACCTGAGCTCACAAAAGAGGCTCATTTAGAACATTCTGTTTGCAGAAGCTCCGGCCACCCAGAATCAAATACTGCAGCCTCAGCAGTCACGGGCCTGCTGTTGGGTGCTGCGCCGTCTCCTCCTATCTGCCCTCCCTCGGCCTCACACCCACCTTCAGAGGCGGGTTCTGCTATTAGCGCCGTTCAGAGGGGTCACCTGACGCTCAGACAGGCCAAGTCCTTGGCTGATGGTGGTAAAGCTCAGTTCTTTTTTTTTTTTTTAAAGATTTTATTTATCTATTCATAAGAGATACAGAGAGAGAGGCAGAGACACAGGCAGAGGGAGAAGCAGGCTCCCTGCGGGGAGCCCGATGCGGGTCTCGATCCCAGGACCCCGGGACCACACTCTAGGCCAAAGGCAGTGGCCAACCACTGAGCCACCCAGGCGTCCCAGCAAAGCTCAGTTCCGATGCTCACAGCCTGTGCTCTACACCGCCAGGCCATTTCGCTTCCCCAGCTCCCGGGCCCTCCTTCTGCGCCACCGCCTCCAGTCTCTGGATCCCCCGCCTCAGCAGCCAGCACTATAGCTGCTCATCTGCAGATAATTAAGCCACAGGGTCTGGGCTTCCCAGGTTGACACCCCCTTTCTGTTTGCACCCTGGGTGTCAGTCTTTAGAGGATGTGGGTGGGTGGTTTAGTCTCTGTGTCCTTTAAACTAGCCAATTTTACAGCACAGTATGGTCCCTCCTGCAAAGTGTTAGAACCGTCAATGTAGCAGGATGCTGCTGAGCAAACACTTCAGCTCAACCTCCGCTCACTTATTATCACAGATTAACACCGAGCTGATAATTGCCTCAAAAGAAATGCTTTCAGAGAATAGTTGCAGACACCGAGGGAGGTTCCTGCTTGGATGGAGCCCAGAGGCAGTTGGCGCGGGCAGGAGAGAGAGTTCTGGCCTCCTGTGCCTTCAGTTGGCCCGGTGGCCTTGGGCCAGTTCCTTCCTTTCTGCAGGCCTCAGCTTGTTCATAAACAATTCTCCCCACCACTGCCCCTTTGCCCCCCACCAAGCACCAGAGGTCTGGTGGGCCAGAGCCACTTTCTCAGCACCCACTGAGTCTCCCCAGACACCAGGGTCTCCTTGGAGGTGGCCCAGCCTCATGCACTCTCCCCTGGGGTGCAGGTTTGGGACCTAGAACTCTCCACTTGGGCTCACTCTCTCTCTCTTACTAAAAACCAGTGTTTAAGGACACCTGGGTGGCTCAGTGGTTGAGCCTCTGCCTTCAGCTCAGGGTTTGATCCTCGGGTCCTGAGATCGACTCTTGCATCAGGCTCAGGCTCCCCGTAGGGAGCCTGCTTCCCCCTCTGCCCGTGTCTCTGCCTCTCTCTGTGTCTCTCGTGAATAAACAAAATCTTTAAAAAAAAAACCCAAAACAGTGTTCATTAACAACCTATTCGATACTCTACAAATATTACTGCATCTACCCATCAAAGGAAGAAACATCATTGAGACGATTTTGCAGATGGGTAAACTGAGGCTGAGCAAAATGGTATATAGCTTGTCTCAGCCAGTGAGTGATGGAGCCGGGATTAAAATCCAGATTCCTGTGACTGGTGTACACACTGCCTCGTTCTTCCTTTCACGGTTCTGAGACAGGATACCTTGTTCCCTCTCCCCTGTAGCTAGGTCCTGGTGAGTATCCCTGGGTCTCGCCCAAGCTCATTTATGCTCCTCCACAGCAACACAGAGCTGGTATCATCACCATCGTTGTACAGAGGAGGAAATAGGGGGTCCGAGAGAGTGAAGGCATGAGGGTGCTGGTTTTAGGCTTCCCAGTTTCAAACCCGGACTGGGCCGTCATCATATTACTAGGCCTCCGGCGGAAAGACCCAGCTTTGACAGAGTTTTGTGCCAACTGTGAGCTGGGGTGAGTCTGCTCCAGGCCCTGGGAGTCTGGCCCCTGGGAGATGGGCTCTCAATCAGGAGAGTGGAGCCTGGCCTGGTTGGCCCTCTCCTGGGCCCCCCGATGCCAGTGTTTCTGCAGAGAGGTCCCTGCGTGTCCAAGGGAGAAGAGCAGATGGATCCAGAGCATCTGGCACCCCAGGCCAGAGTGACTTGAGCCGGCCAGGCTGGGCAGGGGCTGCACAGGCGCTGAGGAAGTCCTCCCACTAATCCCCACCATCCATGGACTCCAAATCTGCTGCACTTATTCCGAATGCTAGGTCCCAAATCCTACCAGGTCAACCTGGCGCTCAGCTGTGGGAGGCATGTGCCTAAGGAGACCTGTCTGCTGCTCGCTGTTGTCATGCCTTGCCCCTGCCCGGCCCCTCCCCGTGCATTGTTATTCTCTAGGATGGCCCCTGAGCCCCCACAGTGATGGAAGCATGGGTTCCACATGCATTTGCAGGTGCCTTCCTGCCTCCCGGCCTCTGTTCCCAACTAGAGCACGAGCTCCTAGCAGAGAGCAACCGAAAAGCAACCGAAAAGGCTTTTGCTGTGAGGTTTGCAGCCAAGGGCTGGTGCTCAGACCCCTTTTTGGAAGAATGAATGAATGAATGAATGATGAATGAAGTCCTTCTCTATGGCTCAGAGGCTTTAGAACCTGTGCTGGACGCGGAGCCCTCCTGCACCCAGGGCTAACTTGCCAGGTGGCTTGGAACAACTCTCCCCTGCCATTCGGCTTCCATTTCCCTTTTCCTTCCTTAAAACTCATTTCTTGAGATACGAGTGACATACAAAAAGCCCTGGGCCGTGTACACCCGTGAAACTACCACCAGCACAAACAAACCCATCGCCTCCTGGCCCCCTCTGCCCACCGCCTTATCCTTCATGCTTCTTGATCGGTGACCAAGGACGCTGGGCAGCAACTGCCCCTCTCCTTAGAAAAACTGAAAAGTATACTTATTTTATGTCCAAGTTTCGCCTATTTAACACATCGCCACACAGCGTCCAGACCTCGAGCAGCCCCTGAGACCCCTGTAGGTGGCAGCTCCAGCCGGGGCCGCCCTGACTCAGGAAAACAGAGCTGTTCCGTCGTTTCTCCTGATTTCTAAAGGTCCGAGATGGCAGGTGCAGAAAGCCAGACAGAGGAGCACCGCCTGTGGACCAGACTCTGTCGCCTCTACCTTGTCTTGGGGTTTCTCCACCTCGGAGCTGTTCTTTGTCATGGGGGCTCTCCTGTGCCTTGTCAGCGATTTAGGGGCATCCCTGGCCTCTACTCACTAGACACCAGTGCAACCCTGTCCCCAGCTGTGCCCATTACAAATGTCTCCAGATGTTGCCAGATGTGCCGCAGGGATCAAAATCCCTCCTGGGCGAGAGCTACCACATACCGAATCTTCACAGCCACTGTGGGGAAGGTGTAATAATTCGCATCTTACCTTAAAGGACACCAAGGTGCTGCCAGATGTAGTGTGTGCCCAAGTTCACAGTTCTGGGGCGGAGGGTGGACTCTGCGGCCTCCGAGGCCCTGGCTCTCTCCCCACCCCTGTGGGAAGTTTTCCTGGTCACTCTGGGGCTGCCCCAAAGCTTCAAAGCCTCTCAAATCCCAGAACCCCAGTATCCCATCAGGCCCCATGCCCTCAAGCCCGTGGGCCCCCCCGTCCGTCTTCAATGCCTGTACTTACTCTGTCTCACAGTCAAGCGTGCACACAGTGGAGGTCCCAGTCCCTCACGCTCAGCGAAAAGCAGAAGCTGTTGGAAGGAGCATTTGTCACTGACCTGGGCAGAGCCCTGACTCCGCCCCCGCCCCCTTGGCCCTGCCCCGTCCTGTCCTGGAGGGCTTCTTGCCAACGGGTAGGCTGCAGGCACAGCCACCTGAGCTCTGACCTGGGGCCACCCACTCGCCAGTCCTACACAGACCCCCGTTGGCCTCCACAGCACTGGGTCCCCAGGGAGGCCACCTGCTGCTGGCATTCCAGACACAGAGAAAGGGACACCCTCTGGCAAGCCTTCCTTTCTCCAGGCTGATTCCTCTGCTCCCACAGCCACTTGGCTCTACATCTGGGGCAGGATCGTGCGAGCCCGAGGTCTCCACACCCCCAACACTATCGGATTCCCAGGCAGTGCTTACCGGATTCCTTCAATGGTGAGAGTCTAGAGGAAGTCAGAGGGACTGTCACCATGGCTGGATGCAGGGACCATTGGATCCAGTCCCCTCACTGTGCAAATGACTGAATTGAGGCTTAGAAAGATGAGCGGGACATCAAATTAGGGACGTGAATCATTAGGGACAGAATGGCGCCAGGTGCCCAGGTCACCAACTTCAAGGTCAAGGCTTTTTCCTTAGGAAAGGGCTGTATCTGGGATTTCAGCTGGCTCAGCTGGAGCTGAACTGCCCTTTTTGACCTTGACCTTGGGGCTCTGGAACTCAGCCCCACCATTTCAAGAGCATTTCCAAGATGCTGGTGCAGGGTGCAGGCTCAACCCTTGCTTCATTCCCAAAGTCCCCGGGCCCTGGTGTCAGGTGTCCTGCGTGTGACCAAGACCCAGGGGTGGTGTGGGTGAACTGGGGTGGGGAATTGGCAGAGGAGACAGGGGGCCAGACGTTGTCCAGGGGAAGCGATCTTGGTGTTCAACAAACAGGGTCCCTCTACTGCCTCTGAGACCAGGAGGAGACTGAAGCCCACTTCAGTCTACAGGTAAACACCATCACTACCGGGCATCGAGCACTTACTTTGTGCTTGCTGCCTCCCAGATGTGCCAGAAGGTGGGTACTAGTATTTCCATCGGATCAGTGAGAAGACAGAAGCAGAGAGAGGTTAGGTAATCAGCCCAAAGGCACACAGCTAATAAGGAGGAGCGTTAACAAGGGGAAAGCTAGGTCTCTTCCGTCCATTGTCCCATGTGACATAGCAAGAGTCCTTTAAAGAACCTAGAGGTGGAAATCATATTACATGCCTGTGTTGGGGTGGATAACATGCCCCGCAAAGAGCCACATCCTAATACCCAGGATCTGTGGATCTTCCCTTATATGACAAAAGGGACTCTGCAGATGTGACTTTAAGTGAAGAATTTGTGTTTTAAAAGATCTTACTTATTCCTGAGAGACAGAGGGAGAGAGGCAGAGACACAGGCAAAGGGGGAGAAGCAGCCTCCCTGCGGGGAGCCCGATGCAGGACTCGATCCCAGCACCCTGGGATCACGACCTGAGCCGAAGGCAGATGCTCGACCACTGAGCCACCCAGATGTTCCAAAGTGAAGGATCTTGAAATGCGAAGACTAGCACAGATTATCCAGGTGGGTCCTAAACCTCATTATAGGGACCCTTATAAGTGAAGGCAGTGAGGAATCAGGCTCAGAAGAAGGCAACATGACCACGGAAGCAGAAGACCTTGCGATGTGGGGATCCAAGGATGTTCGATGACCAAGGAACTCCAGGAGAAAGCCCTGCTAACTTCTCCATGTCAGCCCAGTGAGACTTAGTTTGGACTTTGGACCCCAAAGTGTAGGAGAATAAGTTTGTGCTGTTCCAAGCCACGACGTTGGCATGAATTAGTTACAGCAAGAACAGGTAACGTGTACGATACCCCAGAATGGGCGCCGCATGGAAGTATTTGGGAAAGATGGGATTAACCAAGGTAAGTAGGACTTCTCCAGCTCTGGGCTGTTCCTGGAGACATCACATGGACTACTTTCCAAGACTGTGCTGTAAGGAATAGCTTGAGAATTGGGGGAAAGTCTGTGGCAGCCCCGGACTCCCCGCCCCGGGTGCCCCGAAGGTGCCCCGAAGGAAGGAGGCAGAGACTGGGTTAAGGTCCGAAGAGACGGATTTCGGCAGGGCAGTGGGGGTCTTGGGGTGCAATGCCCCCCGTATCGGCCTGCTAGGGCCGCCAGAACAAAACGCCATAGACTGACTGGGGGACCTAACAGCAGAGATTTATCTTTTCGCATTTCTGGAGGCTTGAAGTCCAAGATCAAGGTGACCTCAGATGTGGTTTCCGGGGAGATCTCTCTTCCTGGCTCGTAAATGGCACCTTCTCACTGCGCGCTCACTTGAGCTCTTGGCCCATAAGGAGAGACATAGAGAGGCAGGTCTAGTGTCTCTTCCTCTTCTTATGAGGATGAGGACACCATCCCTGTGGGATTAAGGCCCAGCCCTTATGACTCCTCTGACTTTAATTATCTTCCCGAAAGTCCCCATCTCCAAATATAATCCCATTAGGGGTTAGGACTTCAACATGTGAATTTTGGGGGGATACCCTGAAGTCCGTAACTGCCTCAGGGAGTGGGTAGGATGGGCCAGCGGCCAGAATATGGGAATTTAAAGGACTCTATAGGTCATGATAGACTTTTTTAGAAAAGATTTTATTTATTTATTCATGAGAAAACAGAGAGAGGCAGAGACATAGGCAGAGTGAGAAGGAAGCTCCCCACAGGGAGCCTGATGTAGGACTTGATCCCAGGGCCCTGGATTCACGACCTGAGCCAAAGGCAGGTGCTCAACCACTGAGCCACCCAGGAGCCCTGATAGATTTATTTTTCCGTTATCACCAAGAGTGACCCAACCCCAGCAGATGAGCTTCGCCCTGGGCAGAGGTGCATTCTGCTCAGCCCACCGAGTGCTGTGATGCTGAGAAGAAGTGATTTTAATGAATTGGGGGTTTTACTGACTCACCTGCCTGGCCCCTGACACACTGTTAGCCCACTTCACCCTTCAGGTGACCTGCCAGCCCTGGCAGGTGTATGAAGTTGTGACTTGCTCTAGAGGACAGAGTTGTGACAAAAGATGAAACAAGGGACTAGTTCACATTTGTGGGGCACCAAAGAGTTGTGCTTTACATATAATGACTCATCCAGTGCTCGAAATCTAGTGCTGTGTTAGGTAGTATCATCTCCATTTTACAGATGAGGAAACTGAGGCCCAGTACAGCCCACGTCCCATGCTATTATGGGCTGAACTGTGTCCCCACCACCACCACCTTAGAAGTTGAGCTGATTTAAATATAGAGGGTCAATGCTGAGAGAATTAGTTCAGGTGAAATCATTCGGCAGTAGAGGGGACCCTTAAGCCCCTCTGACCAGTGTCCTCATTAAAAGGGGAAATTTGGATACAGACACACACACAGAGGATGCCACAGATTGACAGTAAACCATCAGAGGCCCGGAGGGGTTCCAGAACAGATTCTCCGCCCCACAGCCCTCAGAAAGAACCACCCTGCCAACACCTTGACCTTGGACTTCCAGCCTCCAGAACTCTGGGACAATACATTTCAGTTTGTGGTGCTTTGTTCTGATGGCCCCAACAAGCTAATACACTCAGTAATTGGTGGCGGCTGGATTCGAACACAGGCATTCTGGCTCCAAAGTCTAGGTTCTACACAGGGCCTCTTGACAACTCCTAGAAACACGTGTCACCCAAGCTTGCTCCCTGCAGGTGCTCAGAGCATGGGAGCATGAGACCACTGGCCTTAGATCTGCCACTTGTCAGAAAAGGGCCCCTGACCTGCCCAGGCAGCCAGGGATGGAGAGGGCTCCTTCCTGCCCCTCACCTGCCACACTGAGTCAGAACCAGGGGCTCCCAGGTCTGTAGCTTCAGGGGATCCCATGTTCACCCTCTCCTCTCTGCTGCAGCAGCTGTTGTGGGGCTCTCTGCCCACTAATGGGGTGGGGAGTGGAACCTGAGATCCAGAGGGGTGAAGAGCCTGCCCCCCAGCACAGGGTTCGTGGGGAAGCTGGGGCTGCACTCCTCCTTGTTTCCATCCAGATTTCAAGTGCCTCCATTGGCGGGGGAGGGGGATCCCCTGGTTTCCCAGCAGGGGCTCATCCCCAACGAGTAACTATTTGTTGAATGAAAGAACAAATAACCGAAAGAGCCCACGAGGCATCTCTACACACCCACGTATGAGAGCCATGCAAGCTCATCATTCCACCGGCATTCTGGGGTCCCCAGAGTATGCCACTGGTGCTCATGGTACTCCCATTGCTCCCAAATGGTGTAACCAGTGCCACACAGGTAAGGGACACCATAGGAGAGCAGCAAAGGAGAAGAGGAGGAGCCCAGGCACTGCTCTTGGGGGCAGTGCCTGCATGGAGTCTTTTTATTTATTTATGGGTTTAATGTTCCAAAAGGGCATTTAGAAATCTGAGGAGCTGGCATAAATATTTACCCAATCAATTCCAGGGATGTGTCGGGGGGTGGTACGGAACAAACAGCTCAGGGACCTTGTTCAGGGCACAGCCTTTTTCTTTCATTCATTCATTCATTCATTCATTCATTCACCAAATATCAGTTGAGCCTCAGCCACACACCAGACCATACGGTCAACTCCAGGGCCAGGATCTGGGGTGAGTGAAGGGGATGCAGTGTGAACAGAGCCCTGACTTTGAGATCATCTGTCTAATCAGGGCTGGGGGATCAGCGATTAGTGTCAGCCAAGCACGTCTGATGGGAGGATGGCCGTCTGGTTGGGGAGGGCATGAGGCAGGAGATCCTGGCAGATGCTCAGAGATGGGGAAGGGGGCTCTCAGGGCAATGGGGGTGCAGGAGCAGAGGCCCGGAGTGGAGGCTATGGACAACCTGGGAAACAGCAAGTTTCCGCAGCTGAAGTCACTGGACACACGAGTGTGGGAGGAGGCACAGAGGCAGGAGAGGCAGAGCTGCAGGTGGAGGACTATGGGCATTATCTTACAGGCAATAGGGTGCCACTGAGGGCTTCTGAGCCAGGGACTGATGGGCGTAATCGGAATACGGAGGCACCAAGCTCAAGGCTGAACTGAGGGTGACTCCTCCCCTTTCTTTCTCTGCATCATACCAGGGCTTCACATTCCCACACCACCCAGGCGGCACCGGGCACAGTCACCCCAGGCCTTGGCCTCTTTCTCCTGAAGGGCTTGAACCCACCCACCCAGCTGCCTCTGTAAGGGCAGAGTTGCCAGTGTCACCCTGAGCCAGACTTTATTTCCTTCCTGGCTATTAAAAAACAGAATTCAACTTCCCAACGGGTGCAGGGGGGAGTGGACTCATATTTTCAGTAATGTAGTTGTTTTTCAGCCAATGAAACCAAGGATTGAGGAAGGAGGAGGGTCTGCATTCCTCTGAGCATGCCAGGACACGGGGTCCTGCAGCCTTTCCAGGGCCTTGTCCGTGTAGCTCGGGGCTGGTATGATGAGCACCAGAAGGTCCTGCTCAGCACCCTCCTTTTCTGGGATGGCACTTGTTCCAAGGCTGTCCTGTCCAGCTCAGGGCTCCATTTTAGAGGCCAGGGGAGAGAACCTCCAAATCTTCCCTTCCTACCCTCTCTCACTTCCTGTGAGACAATGGCTTTTCCCGCAACCATAAACAGGTCATCTGATTCTTGCTCTGGGTATTGGTTTCCTGGTTTCCCACAATGAGCCTATTCCTGTACCTGTGACATTATGTGGGCCAGGAACCACGTCACACAAAGCCTGGATCATTGTGACTCTTGCTCAGTCATCTCAGTGCTGGAGGTGACCCACAGCCTGTCTCTTCAATCACCAGTGGAAATCTGGGTCTGTGACCCAGGACCTCCTGCGTCTGACACGCTAGGTGACAAGAACATGCCCCAGGGCCCTGCCTAGGGAGATGCATTTGCCACATGTTCCTGAGGTTCAGAAACAAACACAGCCAGGTTCCGTTGGCTTACCCCTACAGGAGGGATCAAGGTTTCTTCTCTAAGACTCTGAGAGAATTCACCCCACATGCTACAGACATCTGAGCTGGACCACCTGGGACAACCCGATTAGCCGGGTGAGGAAGCAGGCCCAAGAAGGAAGGGGATTGGCCTGAGGCCCTGGAGCACATCAGTGGAAGAGTAGGATGTAAACACAAGCTCCAGACTCCAATCTCAGGCTCTTCCTTCTTCTGCAGTGCATGTGTGACCATGACCCCTGATCCGGGGGACTGGCCACATCTCTATGGCCAAAGATGGGGGAAGTGTCTGCACCACCCGGGGGAAGCTGCCTGCCTTACTGGGCCTTCTTCAGTAGGTCTTTGTGGTGACCGCCTTGACTCGTGCTCTTCCCACCAAGGCCTTTGGAGCTCCCACTCTGAAACAAGGCATCCACCCTGCCGGGGAGAGCAGGCTGCCCACATTGCTTCTCCATTCCATATACACCTTTGCCAACCCACTGGAACTTGGAGTATCTCACCCTCAATGTCTGGGACCAGCTATGCCAGGGCAGCGCAGAAAGAACCCCAAAGAGATGGAGAATAAGGATGCATTTACTGAGAACCTACTATGTACAAGGCACCAAACCAGGCTCCTCATAACCATCATTGTGTTTAATCCCTTCAACCAGCTGGTGGGGTTTCTCCCACTTCCTGGGGTGGTGCTCAAAGTGGTGAGATGATCTGCCTGAGGTTGCACTGTCCTGCGGATCTGGGTGTCCAGTCCATGAGCATCTCCTACCACCCACATCCCTCTCTCTCGCCAACTGCTTCTGCCCTGGACTCTCAGGATCTTCTGCGTCCCCCTCTCCAAACATGGAGCTGCTCCCATGGAGTCCCCCAGGCCACGTCCTCCTGCTTATAACAGAAGAGCCAGCCCTGGGAGGGCTATGGCTTTGTGGGGTTGACAACCTTTCCCAGGAAGAGGATGCTCTGGGTGTTGGTGGAAAAGATCACCACAAAGAAGGGCCGGTTGAACCAAAGGACTCTGTGATTGTGCCAGGCAGACAGAAAGGTGGTAAAGATGCCAGTGGCTGCTGCAGCCTGGGTACCAACTTCATCCACCTCAAGAATGGCTTTGTGGAAACTCTGGGAAGGAAATCATAAGTGTTATCTCAAGAGAACAGGAATCAGGACTTAGGGAAGGCTTGGCGAACCAGAGGTGGTTGGAGATCATCACTACAGGTCACCGCTTGCCAAGCCACTTGTTGGGAATCTCCCAGCAAGAATGTCTACACTGGGTGGATTTGTGAGCTAGATGACCTCTTATTTATAGGAATAATTATTTCTATCTGCAACTGAACACTTTCTATGTGCTTAGGGCTCTTTTTAAATCTTCATAGCCACCCTATAAGGTTGATATATTATGGCCGTCTTACAAATGAGGAAAATAAATCTAGACACTCACTAGCCCTTTAATGCCATAAGGGAAATACTTGGAATTCAACTCTATAACTCAAGGCTCTATCCTGGTGTACACTTTTGTTTTCTTACCTGAAGTCATAGATCTCTTTCTCTTGTCAAAGAGATCTCTGATACACACACACTCAGCCCAGCCTGGTCTATATCCTCCCTCTACTTCTATCAATGCATTTGTCACTGTCCATTGTGATCTATGAAGCCCACTTGGCTGTGAGAGCTCCCTGAGGACAGGGTCTGGGTGGATACCATTTTGCCAGTGCTAAGAACTAAGCCAGCAAACAGGGGGTTGGTTCATGGATGCCCATGCCTGTGGATGGTTGAATGAAATCCAGGCTCTGAGATTTCATGTGATGGTAGAGAGAACACATATCACCCGGCAGCTCTCATACGGCAGAAGTTCCCCACTGAGTCTTCAGGCATGGATGACCACGGATGACTTACCTTGGACACCTGCACTTTTTTCTCTTTGGTGATGCCAGACAAGTCAACCTGCTTTGAGAACAGGTCCACGAAGCCCATCTTGGGCAAAATCTCATCCAGTTGATAGGAGCCAGAAATGGAGAACTTGGGGAAATGCAGCTCGAGCTTCCTATAAAAATGTCTAAAGGAGGCATGGGGTTAAAACATTGGACCCAGGGACAAGCAAGGGACCCCAGTGCACTGTGGTCCTCTTGACTGCATTCTCTAGCTGGCCCCACTCACTCCAACTGACTGTGCTTCAAAGCTCCCAGAGACTTAGAGTCAGGACCCCCACTCCCCCGACCCTGGCCTGCTATCTGCAGGAGCTCCTCCCTTGGGAGCACATTTTCAACAAAGGCTGCTTTCTGTGAACGTGCCAGGTGCCCAGGGAAATACAAGTGTGACAGTTTTGCCTTCATCTTTGTTGGGGTCCTGCGATTTTCACTTATTTGGGACCAAAGATGATTTATTTGGCTAGAATTCCTCTACCACGTGAGCCGTGTGAATTTTCCATCCACATGTGGCCCTAGGCTGAGGCTCTTATCTGTGGTTGGAAACTTCCCCCATTCATAGCCCCAAGGTGACAGGAAACTTCCTTGCTACTTCCTTGGATGAATGGGTGGAGTTTTCTTAAGACCCTCTATACTAAGCATCTTGACCGGAGGTCTATGCACTCACTGCACAGGGGCAGATCCTTGAAGAGCCGATGTCACTTCACACAAGTCTTGTGCAATATAAGGGCTACATCTAGAGCCAGGAATCTTAACACCTAGTCTGGTTCTCTTCTCACCAATAGGGGCAAAATCATATTTCAGATGTAACAGGAAAGTTCATTGTCTAAGGGAACCCATGGGAAGTCTGAGAGCAAATAAGAATTTTTTTTCATAATTCGGCAATTACCCCCATTCTGGACACTGGCTTTCATTAGGAGGGTCCACAGGAAGGGCAGTGCTGCAGATTCAGCACCACCAGGCACATTGATTACCTCTTCTGAAGTAAGCGGTTCCATCTTGTTAGCATCTCTGGGGTCAAGGCCTCTTCCACTTGCTTCATTTTCCCTCGGTTAGGAAGGATAAAAAAGGCTGTCATGTTTCCTTTGTAATCCATCCGCAGCACTGAGCAGGGCAAGTATCTGTCATTGAGATACCAGTGGTGCGCTGTGTCCTGCAGCATCATAGGCACCTGGACTACGGTATTCTCATCAACGTGGAAGTCTTGGGTAGTGGTCATCGAGGGTTGGAATGGTTTTTCCCACAGAGCTGAAAGGAAGAAGGAAAGAAGGCACAGGGCACCTGGGGACCAACAAGCTAAGCCTTCAGCTAGGGGATGCCTCTCCCACAGTCTTGGAGACGTCCACCTTACTATTCCATCATGGTGTACCATTTAGATCCTTCAAAACCTGACCTGCCTGAGAAACAGATCTCTCAGGGCTCATTTAAGATTCTAAAATGTGAGATACAAATCAGTATAAGCAAGGTTGTTTCATGTATTCACCCTTATTTACAAAGCTCTTATTTATTTAAGAGAGAGAGAGAAAGCATGAGATTGGGATGGACAGAGGGGGAGGGAGAGAGAGAAAGAATCTCAAGCAGACTCTGTAGTGAGCTTGGAGCACAATACCAGACTTGATCTTACAACCCTGAGATCATGACTTGAGTGAAACCAAGAGTCAGACATTTAACTGACTGAGCCCCCCCATGTCTTCACCATTTCATCTACATTGCTGCACTTAAAATTTTTTGCCAACCTGATGTTTCTGTAGTGGTAGCACATTATGGCTTTGTAGTGTACTTTCTTGGTTAAAAATAAGGTTGAGCAATCTTTTGTATGTTTATTGACCAACTAAGTGTCTTTTTTTTTTTTTTACGTCAACACCAGTTCATGTTTTTCTCTTGATTTGTGTAGGGTTGATTCTTAGTGATTTGCAGTTCTTTCTGAACTGAACGCTAATTGTCTATTGGTTGCATGAGTTGCAAATCCCTTGTCTTTCTCTCTGACTTGCATTTTCACTCTATTAATAGTGTTTTGGTGATTGAAATTCTTAACTTTAATGCAGTGAACATATTAGTCTTTTCCTCTGTGGTTAGGTCTTTTGTGTCTTGTTTAGGAAAGCTTTCCCTTCAAGGTTTTGAAGATAGTCTCCTGTATTATATTCTAGAAGATTTAGTTTTCTCTTTTGCAAAAAGGACTCTAGTCCACCTAGAATAAATACTTATTACTCATTGAATGGAGGGGTCCAAACCCATTTTGTTCCCCTTGTGGGTATCTAGTTGTACCAGCACCATTTTTGAAAAAATCCACTCTTTCCCTAGTGCTCTATCATGGCAGTGAGGGGGAATGTCAGCTTTGACAAATATCAAATGTCCATGTATCTATCCATGTGGGCATTTCTAAGGTCTATTCTGGCCTCATTATTCTGTCCCATTGGCCCATTTATACTACATAGCCTAAATTAATATGGATTTATGGTAAGTCTCACCCTCTGGCAGTCAAGTTTTCCCATCTTAACTATTCTTGGCCTTTTGCACCACCATACACATTTTAGAATCAGCTTGTTAACTGCCACCAAAAAGATAAAATAAACCTGTTAGGATTTTGATTGGGATTGCATTAAATATTTAGACTAATTCAGGAGAGAATCAACATCTTTTCAGATTAACTATTCCTTTTCATGAACATAGTATATCTGTATTTTAAAAAATTTAAGTGTACTTTAATATCTCTCAAGAGAATCTTATCTACAGAAATGCTGTGCATCTTTGCTAGGTAGTTTTCAGTTTTGAAGGTAAGCCACAATTTTCCCACTCTCTCACCATGTGACTTACAGTGAGACCTGGGGCTATGTTTATGTCCCTAAGGTGTTGGGCAGATGTGTCAGAGGGAAGGATGTCTCTATCTTCATTCTATTTCTGGAGGACCTCTCATTCTCAGGCCAATAACACTAACCCAGTTGGAGCTACATCTCTTTCAGGAAGAGAACACTCAAACCCTGCATTATTTATGGTCAAAGCTTTGGATAGGTTGATGGAATATACTATACATCTAAATTATATTTTGAAAAGATTGACATCTATAGAATAGTGTGCAACCATTAAAGCAAGATCTAAATAAAGTTTTCAGTGGCATAAAACAGCACACACAGTTTTCAATAGCATTAAACTACACCTATACACACACACACACACACACACACACACACAAATGAATGCAAAACCTGGAAAATCTGAATAGTCTGTAGATTGCACCAATGTAAATTTCCTGGTTTTGCTTTTGTATGACAGTTGTGTAAGATATTATTCAGGGTAACCTGGATGAAAGGTACATGGGATCTCTCTGTATTGCTTTCGCAACTTCTCTAAGTTTATGGTTACTGCAGAATTAAAAAGGTTTTTAAAAACGTTTTCAGTGGTGCACAAAAAATTCCATGTGTAAAATGCAAGCAATGACCGATTAGGCTGGATTTTAGTCTGGGACTGTTTCCCAGAATCTGTTCCCTGTAGATTCTGGGTTCAAGGTGGTTACAAGTGTGAGATCAGGAGGTAGATGTGAAGCAACCACCACACTCTAAAGGTCTTCCCAGGAAGATGGGATGATGAACAGATCTAGCAGAGCTCTGTGTGCTCAAGTTTTCCATGCCGTCCTCCAAGTCCATTGTCCAACATTAGCCCTCCAGTATCCCCAAGCCACTACCAGGTGCCCAGCATGGACCTCTCCACAAGCTGCCCATACACGAACCCACTGTAGTGGCTGGATGTCCCTGGCATATAGATCCCTGATAAACTCCAAACTTCCACCTGCGCCAAGGACTTCACTCCGTTCCTCCAACTCCACTTCCTCCAGACCTTCACTTCCCCACAACTGTGCAAGGTCCAATTCTTATAGCAATCCCCTTTCCCTTAACATTCATGGTGGCTTTGTTCCTCTCATGGAACACTGATGATGCACGCTGTACAAATCTGTCCCCACACTGTGATTTCAACTGTTAATATGTGTGTGTGAATGGAAGACTGGAATGAGTTAGGTGAAATGTTAACACTGGTTACCTAAGGGTAGTAAGATTATGAGTAATTTCTATTTCTCTTTTATACCTTTATGTGTTTTTAGGTGTATTCAAAATGAGCATTGTTATTATTAGATTAATTATGATTACTCTATTTGTTGAATATATATAACTGTCAAGTCTCCACAAGGTTCTTTTGCAAAGGTCCAGAAAAACAAATATTTTAGGCTCTGTAGAAACTGCTTATCTCTGTGGCTGTGTGAAAGCAGCCTGAGAAAATACATAAATGAGTGGGCATGGCTGTATGCCAATAAAACTTTATTGACAGAAAAAAGTGGTTCATCAGATGTGGCTGGGGTTGGTGGTTTGCCTATCTCTTTAGGCCCTCTCTTAAAGACTACATAAAAATGTGACATAATTTGATTCTCAAAACAAAGCTTTGAAGGAGGGACCCTTATTATCTTTACTTTAAGCAAACAACCTGCTCTGTTTACACCGGGGTAAGTGGCAGAGCTTTGATATGAATCCAGCAGTTCACCTTGTGCATTTCATACATTACTACCATGAAGAAAATAAATAAGTAAATATTTCTAAATTTTCTCAATACTACACAATCTTAGATATCTGATGCTTTCACGTGAATCTTCTAAGGGTTGCTTGACCCTATCTGACCCCTTCCATCTACTTTCTCTTTTTAAAATATTTAATCTATCCTTAAATTAGGGGGAGAGGGAAGATACAGGATCCACTAGCGAACCTACTCTTACCTTTGAAGTAAATGTAATTCACCAGCACCATTGCAATGTCCGTGTTCAGGTTGCTCACCAAATCCACAATCTTCCCTTGAGTTTCCTCCTTGATGTGGTCATTGATAAGCTGGGTGGTGCCCACAGGATCATGGAAGTTGGTGAGGAAGAGTTTGGAGTCATAGAAGGCCACACTGTCATTAAGAAATCCCGGAAGGATCAGCAGGTCCTGGCTCAGGAATAGGGTGCTGCCCATGTGCATCTCCAGCCTGTCGTCCGGAAGGTGGAGAGTGTGCAAGAGGTGCTGGAAGCCCCAGTGGATGTCTGACTCGGACACCTCTGTGAGGTTGAAGCCCAGACCCTCAAGGATCTGGGTCTTGCTGTGTGAGCGGGCCCCCAGGGACAGCATGGCGTAGGAGGCCGAAATGCTCAATGGGGAAAAGAAGATGTTGCTCCCAGGACTTTGGGAAGCCATCAGGTGGTAGAAGTGGAGAGCGAAAGCTGTATTGCCCGGGGCAATCTTGAGGCTAGGGGAGCCCTCACCTGTGCTTGGAGGCTCCTGATGGAGGCTGTAGCGCTCAGGATGCAGCTGACCATGAGGTAGGACTAGCAGTCCAGCCAGAAGGAGGAGCAGGCTGTCTGCAAGATCCATCTTCTGCGCTCTCAGGGCTATAGGAGGAAAAAGAGTGCCCAGGCAATTCCTCAGTAGAACATCCAGCTGTCCTAAGAAGTTGGGCAAGGGCAGGGCCCCAGGGTGATAAATGACACTGTGAACTCTTGCAGATGGACCTGTGGCAGGATAGCAAACAATCCAGCACTTTCCCAGCATATGATGAAGATGATATTCCGTGGCGGTGCTTTAGATGAACAAAGCACACTTCCTGCCCACACACCTCCCTGCATTTCTCATCCCTCTGAGCTCTGCAAGGCACTGGCTTCCATTCTGGTCCCAGAGACTCCAGAAATGACTTAATTGGGTCACCTAACTGGTAAGTGAGCTAGAACACAAAGTCTCCAGACTCAGCCTGGAGCTCCTTTTACCATTCACATTTATTCCCTCGGTCCGGTGACCCACTGCAGCAAGGGTGCGAATCACCAAAGGGTATGTTACCATCTACAGCAGCAACATCCAAGGTGTGCTTTACAGTCGACATAATCACTTTAATGCCATTTTGCCTGCCCCTCTTTCCTAGGTAGAGATGAGTGGAACTCTCACCATTGTTCCGTACAGGTAAGATCATCAATGTTCAAAAGCTAACCTGCCCAAAGTCCCAGGAAAAGGATTGATCTCTTTTTGTAGTAAACTTAATCCGCCCCAAACAGGGTGCTCGATTTTTCTCCATCAAATCTGTGCTGCTGCATCAAATGGACCTACCATTACTATCTTGTTCTCAGCTCCAAACCCAGTTGTCATCTCTAGTCTGTGTTTGGTCTTCCATCCCCGACTCCATTCAATCATTGTACATGTCTGACAGGCTCTTCCCCCAACCCCCCAGCCTGTCCACTGCTATGACCTTCACTCAGGCCTCCAGCCTCATTCACCCAGACCAGGGGTCAGAAAACTTTTCCTGCAAACGGCCAGAGAGTCAATGTCTTTGGCTCTGCAGGTCATAGTCATGTTGCAGCTGCCGAACTTGGCTGTGTTGGCTGGAAAGTGGCTACCCACGAGGCAGGCTTGTGTGTGGCTGTGTTCTGGTGAAACTTCATTTATGGACAATAAAATGTGAATTTTATATACTTTGCGTGGGTCACAAAATATTGTCCTCCTTTTGATTTTTTTCAACCATTTACAAATTTTGTATTTATATGTATATTTTATATTTTGTTATATCTTGCATTCTTAGCTCAGGGACAAGGTAAAAATAGGCCGTGGCCTAGATTTGACCCATAGGCCACCATTTGCTGAGTCCTGTCTTAGACCACTGTAGCTTCCTACCTGGTCTTTCTATATTATTTTCCACCCTGGAATGGGAGTAACCACTCTACTCACCTGCTTAACACCTGTCCCCATAGCATGGCTTCCTACCAAGCTATAATACCTTCTCCTGCCCTAACCGTCACATGCGTATTTATCTCTGGCTTTGCAGTGAGTTACCCAGAATTCTCTATCTGACATTCTCCAAAACACCTGGGTCTTAAGTCATGTGTGGCCTTGCAGGAGGCTGCTTCTGGGCCTGGGTGCCGGTTTGCCCACTAGTGAAATATGAAGGCTGGTGCAATCATCTGTAGGGGTCTTTCCAGCCATAGGATATGTCACCTCTAGGTCTTTCCTAGTCTTAGCACTACAAGTCTTATGTTCCAGATCTCCCAATCCTAGGAAAACTAGGATGATTGATCACCCTCCCTTCTGATTCTCAATTGTGGCCCTCAGAGAGTTACTCACGGTCAGTCCTGGTATGGCCCCTGGGCAGCTGTCTGAGTGCTAGAGGAAGCCCAGGAACAGGGTCTGGGCTTATCAAGCCAAGGAAGGTTGGCAGAAGCTTTCAGCACCACCAGCACCACCTACCACCTCCCAGATTAGGTAATTATTAACGAACAGACCTATGGGTGCAGCGTGGAGTCTCAACACAGAGAACTTTACTGAAAGTTGGCTCAACCTTCTCAAGATGACCCCCCTTCTGTCCAGGGGGATTCCAACTGAGTTTACCCCTTGCTCTTTGTGTAGTGCACTAATGTTTGCCTGGCACATGCTTCCCCCAGAGGCTGATGGGGCCCCTTAGCGGATGTGGCCTCCACATTGCCCCTCATTGGCCATGTGAACTCAGGCACATTTATTCCCTTCTCTGGGTTTGTCATGTGCCCATCCCATCCCCCCCCCCACCTCCTGCAAAATGAAGAGGTGGACCAGACCAGGGGCAGCAAACCCCAGTGCCCTCACAAACCTCCAGGATGTTTGTGAATACTGCTTCCAGGATGACATAATGAAGAATGGTGGACATGTGGGACTGGAGAGGGTTACTTCTCTGTGGCCATCAGGACCCACTGGGCTGCGGTAGGGGGCTGGATCCTGCCCTGGTCCTCCAGTTTGCAATCCTGGACTATGGATTGCCCAGGAACCTTTCGGCTTTAAAGGTACATGACTCTGTGATGGAACATGTTGGCCTATGAGGTACCATATGTTGGCTTTCAAGGAGAGTACATCCAGGGGCAAAGGTGGCATGGGGTGGGAGCAAACCCCTCTGTGGGCCAGGAATCCAATTGCACATTTCCTTTTTAATTATGGATCTTGAATCTGCTTTATGTGTAGTAATCAGTGAGTTTGGGCTCCCTTGGACTATTCTGGGGCAGTTAAATATGTGGATAACATATGGTTGTTTCTTAAGCCCAAGGGGAAGGAAGTGATGTGGCCTGAGGTGTCCTGAATGATATGCCCTTGACATTCATACTTCCTCTCGTGGGCTTTCCTGAATGTGTCTCCAGGTGCTTGGGGCTTTGACTTGAGTGGAACATATACTGCCAAGTAGCAAGATTGGGCTAGGAGACCAGAGCTGGACAGAGGACAGAGTGGTAGAGTAGGTCCAAGCACAGACTTGGACCCAGCTGCTCTGGGGTCCAAACCTCAGCCTATTATTGGGCTCTGAGAGGTTCAGGGGTGTGTCCAAGTTCACAGGACAGAAATGTATCGACACCAGGGCAAGAGAAGAACTTGTCATGCCAGGTAAGAGTGAGAACTACTACCCACTTGCATCTCCTCTCTTACCACACACACATACACACCCCATGAGGACTGTCCTTGTCCCATTTTACAGACAAGAAAACAAAAGTTCAGAGAAGTTGCTAGCTCATATTTCAAAGTTAGACTGAAGCCCATGTTCTTTCTCTGCTTGGACAAACCTGCCGTTCTTCTAGAATATCAGGTCTGGTTTCGTTCTTGGCTGTAACCCACGTGCTAGAACATGTGTGGCACCCAGTAGGTGCTCCATCAATATTCACCGAGTAAATGAATGAAGGAGAGATGGATTATCAGTTCATGAGTATGAAACTCAATTATTCCCTTTCCAGAGTCGGCAATTTGGTTTTAGCTTCCTTAGCCTGGTTTCTGCAGTGAGTTAGAGCTCGATGCAGCAGATTCCAGGGGGCAGCTGTAAGGACAGGTGGCCTGACCCTGGTGTGAGCACATGGTGACTGCCCTTTGGTTCCTGGACCCTGCCCCTGCAATGCTCTGGATGGAGTTGGGCTTTGAAGTCAGACAGGCAGTGCTGCCGCTGAGCTGGTGAATTCAGGGCAAGTCACTCCACCTCTCTGAAACTCACTTTCCTCACCTGTCAAATCAGGAGCAATCACTAATTGGAAAGGCAGACATGAGGGGACCGGGGATCCTCAAATGTGCTGGGCTCCCCCTCCGGATCAATGACATTTCTTTCTTTCTTCCCAACTTCTTGCAGTGGTAAAGGGCAGGGCCTGGAGGTGGGGGTGCTCAGTCCAGGCCCACCCACCAGCTACACTACTGCCTCTGCTTCTCCTCTGTAAGCTAAAGGCAGTAATTGTTCCAAATCTCAAGCTTGTCATGAGAAGTCAGGAAATTTGTGTCTGTAAAGTGCTTAGAGTGAGTGTTGGCAATAGGAGGTGCAATGTAAGTGTGAGCTAGTCTATCGTATTACTCCAGACAGTTTGCATGCTATTCATTTATCCCTAAATGTGTGAATATAGCTAAATCAGTATTTTTTTAAATTTATTTATGATAGTCACACAGAAAGAGAGAGAGGCAGAGACACAGGCAGAGGGAGAAGCAGGCTCCACGCACCGGGAGCCCGACGTGGGATTCGATCCTGGGTCTCCAGGATCGCGCCCTGGGCCATAGGCAGGCGCCAAACCACTGCGCCACCCAGGGATCCCAGCTAAATCAGTATTTTTAAACAATTTTTTTTTTTTGCACTGTGGTCCTGACAGCCTATCTCAAGAAAGCCTTGGACTCTTTCTAAAATATGCACAGATTCTCAAATTTTACAATTTACGAGCTTCCTTGAATCACACAAAGTCCTTGTGGTCACTGTGCGCCAGGGCAGCCATTTTCTCCCACAGGAAGCATCCTGTGTGATGGAAAGATAGAAATGACCTTCAGATCCTCAAAGGAGTCACTGCCCGAGAGTATGGAGGATGAGGACTGTTGGCCAGCGGTACTGGCGGCAGACTGGGCTCAGCCGCTAGCTCAGAGCTCGTTCCCCACCCAGCATCTGGCTGCTTGCTGTCCTAAGGCCTCTGGGCAGGCTTAAGGAGTGTGAAGACCTTGCATCTTATACCTTGGTGTGCCAGGAGTTTTTCATCAATTGTGAGGTCCAGGAGGGCAACAGATGATGTTACAGTCAGATTTGTATCTGTATCAGAATAGGACTGGTCAAGAGAATATGCATAATGAATGAATGAATGAATGAATGAATGAATGGACACCAGAGGCTCTGCTCAAAGCTTGGTGTGCTCCTGAAAACAGCAATGATCTTAGCAAGTACCTGTTTAAATGATAGAAGAAAAGCTCTCTGACCTGGAAGTCCAAGGTGTGGAAGCAGAGAAGCACAGGGCTTGACTATCTCAGTCACCCCCTCCCAAAATGCTCCACCTGGAGCTGCTGCAGGGTTGAGATCCTCAGGGAAGAGCTGCTTTCCCAGCACCTGAGCAGTGGCCTGAGCTGTACCAGAGTCAAGAGCTGCACTCCCTTGGGACCCTCCCTCTGTCACTTTGCAGCTTGAGATCCAGTCCTTTGTGGATGTTCTGGTTTCCAAAACCAGCACAGGTGTACAGTTTAAGCTCTCCATCCTCTTGGCCACTCCTGACCCCTTTCTCATTCCCTGGACTCCAGGGGGAGCCAGGATATTGCCCTCAAAGAGGCTGTTATTGTTTTTCAGTTGACTGTCAATGTAATTATGGTTGCTATGAAAAATCCGGGAATATACACAGTCTAAAGAAGAAAGTGAAATAACTTGTAAACCTGCCATAGTCAGATTTAATTTATTTGCTTCCAGTCTTTTTAAAAAATGGGTGCATGCACATATAGACTGTCGACAATGAGGCCCTTCCAGTGTTGGTTTTGATAGAAACACAAAGACAATAAATGTTACAGTTCAGAGACCCCCTTCCCCACCCCCCATGCCGAAATTTCACGAAAGGGGGTTAAGAACTGTTCTCCTGATCCTAAATGCTTTACTGGCATGAAGAAAGGCTTAGAAGTGGGGAGAAGGTGCAGACCAGAGAGGGATTACAAAGAGAGGGGAGAGGAGTCCCTGTTGGGCCTGTTGAGAATGATAGGGTCACGGGCCCAGGGCCAGTATGGTCAAATTCTGGTGAGGGCCCTCTTCCTGGTTCACAGGTGTGCCCACACACAGTGAAGGACAAACAAGCTCTTTGGAGCCTCACTTTTAAAGGGCACTAATCCCATTTATAGGGGCCACACCTTCCACCTTAATCACCTCCTAAATGCCTCACTTCCTGACACCATCATCTTTGGGGCCCAGGATTTCAACCTGTGAATTTTGGGGGGAGGCAAGGGGACATTCAGACCATAGAAAGGGCCTTCAATGGAGGTATTAATAAAACACAGCACGCATCCCTATAGTTAGGGGTGTCCAGTTTACTGGGTCCCGGCTTGTCTGAAATATCTGCAAGGTACCAGTAGGCTGGTCAGACTTCCTGGGGACTCACTGCATCTACTTTCCTGTCCTCTCTGACTCATCACCTCCTACCTGGCTTTTAGATAGGTGGATACACATGTGTCTTGGTTATGCAGTCCTGCAGAAAACCACCCCAAATTTAGTAACATAAAAGGACAGCAGGCTTTCAAACCAGCAATGTCCCCACTAGACTCTGGGCTCTTTGGAAACAGGGACAGGATTTTATTCATTTTTCCCTCTGCATCTGTCCCCTTCCCTCTAATGTTCAACGCTCAGCCCAGAAGAAGCCCTGTGTGAAGATCTTGTGCTTGATGATTTAACCACATTATATCCTCGTAGGGATCCTATGAGATGTGTTTCCTCCCACTAACCAGAAGGGCAAGTGGAGGCCAAGAAAGATTAAATATCTTGCTTGTGGTCACACAGCTGGTACATGGGAGAGCTGGGGTTTGAGCCTGGAGAGAGCTGGTTCCAAAGCCCAAGATCGTAGCCTCCACTTCTGACTCTTACTATAGAAATGGCTGGTTAATCTCAGCATACTGGCCAGCCAGGGCCCCAATGCCCCTCACTTTCCCTGTAGGGGAACTGGGCTTTAACTGGGGGATGCTAGGGACTGACAACCACTCAGGGAAAGACTGTGTGCGACCCTGACTCTGCTAATTCCTGATGCCCCACGCAAGGTCCCTGGATGGAGACAGCACAGGTGCCTGGGAAACTGAAGGATTCACTGCTTTTTGCCCAAGACCCACATTCCTCAAAATGTGGGCTCGGGGGTCCTCCATAAGAGGGTACTTGTTAAAAGCGAAGGACCACAGGAGTTTCTTCAAGTTTCTCGAATCACAATTCTGGGGCTGGCATAGAGTGGGTCCAGCATTTT